GAAATCAATTTTAATTGATTCAAACCAATAATAATCCTGCATGCATTTAATTTCTTATGACAAAGATCAAAATTACTGTGTATGCTGTCAGAATGACCCTTCCTAAATAATATTCCCTTTATTCATGTTATAATTTATATTGACATCGTCAAGCATAGGAATTAAGGAGCTGAACTTATTGGTCCTGAAGTAATTATGCCATAAACTACAAATAGCAGTTAGTAAGTATTCTATTGTTCGTTATATTACTTATTTGCTTTCCTTATCAGATAAGTATTTCAAGAATCTCTTGCTTTCATCAAAACAAGTTTTTGTGAGATTAACTATTTCTCTAAACGAATTCTCTTCCCAAAGTTAGCAGATAATTTAAGCCTCATTTCATATTTAATGTCTAATGGCTATTTTTCTCAGATATATTAGCCAATTACGACTAAAGAATTCTCCTTTCTTTCGAAATGACAAAGAGTGGAGGGGGAGGCCCAATGTTAAGTTAGAGTTGACTATAATCTTCCCTCAGAACGGCCTCCACAAAAGATATACTTATTCATTATTAAATACAAATATAGATTCATTGAGCGTAGCCAAAATATATACTCAAAAGATGTCAAGCGCCCCATACCAGCCATATTAGTCTAATCCCATAGAATAAAGTATGTTCGGCTTTTCGTCTGCTCTGTGGCGGATATATTCAGAGTAGCACTTATTCTAAAAGCTATGCTACACTCGCTTTGAGGACAAGGTAGACACTGTAACTTGTAGCGAATCCATCACTATCGTAGTTACGTGTTCTTTATAAGACTATAATATTAAGTTTACCTCACAATTAAGAATTGCTATTAGTAGCGCAAATAGAGGAATTCATTGAAGCTGCTACTCCAGCTCCAGTTGAACATTCCGAAAATATTTGACAAGGACTAGTCAATGGATAGCTCATCTCTAGGATGAAAACCTATATCATTTAATTTCTTCCTCACAGCATGTCATATTTCGAAAATAAGGTAAATTCTTACTCAAGAAGTTTCAGACTTAGCTGTTAACTGTCTGAGCTTGGAGGGATCCTTTCTTAAAGCTCTACTAATTTACCAAAAGATATTCCATCTAAGTTTAGTTCACTTATAGGAAACGCAAAATTTATCATACACAGCATAATTTCTTCCAAAATGTCAGTGTTTTGAGCTTCCGTAATTCAAAATGCAAGGTGAATAAAATTGAACAGAATCGACGCATGAGGAAATATTGCTTTAAATTACTAATAAAAATAAAATCCTTTGATCAAAGGGTGTTCTATATCACTTAAAATTGAATTCATTTATGAAAGTGAGACTAATTCTACTAAAATCGTTTACCTATAGTTTTAAAATTAAGAAAGAGACTTAGAAGATGGATTACAAAAGTATCAGGAATAAAATTTATGAAAGTAGAACATTCTAATAGGATGAGGCTATAGATAAAAAATAATTAAATTTTATTAACGTCTTTTTATACAAAATTACTGGCCAATAATGGTTTATTCTCAGGCAAAAGTATTCGTAGAGGATTGATTCTTTATAAAGCGGCCAAATTAGTGTGGCCTTATTTACTTTCGTAACAGATTAAATAAACTTGGCCAAAGTTTGCTGCAGAATTGATTAGACAGAATAAGCAAATTGGGACCCTAAGGAGAAAGATTAGGAATCAGCTAGTGGCAGAGGGTGATATATGAGGTGCTGGTAGCTCTGGCTGTAATCACCAAAGTAGCAGGTCTGCGGAATGGAGTGTATTGAAGGGGAAAACTATTAGGAAGGTGCATAGTGAGGAATGGTGGAGTGAGGTTAGCACCGAGGGGCAGCCTAAAACGGAAGAGAACCGTAGGCAGGCCGAACCGCTGAAAACTGATCTGAGAGATAAGATGGCAGAACTGAAAACAGGCCAGAACTATAAAGACGGAAGCCCCGTCCTTTGTCATCAGGTTAGGCATCAATAATGTCTGAGTATGCTACACAAAGACGCCCGACCACAAACTCGGATGACTCTTCGGGCAGTTAGTCAGATGGTACTAGAAATTTCTTATTCATCCCAACTACTTAGACTGTCTGCCCGGACACGTCTGCTAGGAAAGATGCAAGCTCGTCTATTGCCTCAGACTATCAAGTTCGGCAGAAGGCATGCCTTGGCGAGATAATGGTTGACCTTAGCTGCAGGAGACAGAGGACATAAGGCAGGGTGGTTCGCTGTTGGTTTTGGGATATAAGAGGGCCTAGCGTTCCCCGCGTCTTAGGGGCTCTCCATCCACCAAGACAGAGGCGAGACACCGAGTCGGAGAAGATGAAAGCGAAGTCTGTTAGCGCGACATATTGTATTTGGATGAGGGTTTACCTCAGTCTGTGTTTTTAGAGAAAGACTCGCCGTCCCTCAACGCATTGTGCCCTACAAAATATATCATCATATCTAAGAGTGAGTAAATTATGCCATCATGGAAAATGTGAAAGACTCAGTAAAAAGCAAGTATGACAGGCTATAGAAGAGATTCTTTGAGTAAACAAGGCTGATGAAGTAGAGAAGATAAGTTATAAAGGAGTATACAATGAGAGTTATTAAAAATGTTTTATTAAGGAAAACTTTATAAAGTGAAATAGAAAGCTAAGCCCCATTTATTTAGAGAACGCAAACTCTAAATATTCGACTACTTCAGTGCTCTGGTCCATAAAATACATCAGGAAATCTATTTTAGGTATAAGAAATCCCG